CTTGAAACCCCCGGAAAGACTTTCGCGCACTTCTTTACCTGATGCCTCAGTTGTTTCCGCTGATCATTAAAAACCAAAAATACCGTCCGATAGTGTTTTTTATCGTCTTCCACTTTGCTTAAGACACTTTTTCTGGCAGACTGTCGCTGTTGGAGATATGCGCAAAGGAAGACTGCCCGCTCTTGATGCTGCCAGAAAGGCTTTCGCGCATTTATTCAGCTGCTCTTTCGGTTATTTCCCATGAATACTGAAATGGACCTACAAATAATTTTTGTCCAAAGTTTCGCATGCCCGGGAAACTTACATCTTCAGAGCTGTTCTGTTCGAAGCAGCGCCACTCTAAAAACGCCCAGGAAGACGACAGCGGCCTAAAAGCTCGAAAAACTTATCAGATTCTAGGATTTGTTGCGATAAGCAACGATAATTTGATTCAATTTGTAACTAAAGTGATAGTTTTGTTTGCACACCGTATTTGGGGCAATTTCAAAAGGTAAATTCAGCTCGCTTTCCCAATACCGTGCATGGAAGTTTCCGGATTAGCCCGCGATTGCTCGTATAGTAGGCCCATTTTTTGACAGCGCCATGTAATTGTCGTCAAACTGACAGGCCTACAAGCGGTAAATCGCCGGTTATACGCGTGGAATTGCGCAAAGTGATTCGAAAATTAGACACTTGAAAAATTAAAATTGTAAAAATCGATCAGGGTTAAACGTTCGATTGTTGTCAAAATTGTACTGAAGATGTATGCTGGTCAAAGTATTTTAAAAGCGAAATAGCTGATAATAATTGAACGATGGCCCCATTGTGTATACTACAAAATGTTATTCTTCAAGCTTCAAGAAAAAAGTATACACAATCAGATAGAGAATCAATTATTTTATTTTTAGACCTTGATATTTATTTTCCGACCGGAATTGATGTATTTTCAGTCTACGAATAGGTACACATTGCAGGGTGGAAATAGTCGTATTTTACGATTTGTTTTCCGATTGCTGGCCAACTGGAAAACACATTTATAATTTCGCTGGTAGTGGTTTGAAGTAGCGGCAACTTATAATGCAATTTTTCTATACATAGATTGGCATTAGGTCAACAAGAACCGAATATTTGCAATTTCCGCCAATCCAACAAACCCTTTCGTTTTAAGACTTTCGCATCGAACCAGAATGGCAACTTAATGTACCATTATTCCAGATACGGAAGTCCTCATCATAACCGGTCGCAATCGGTGAAAACTCCGGGCCGATCCTCCGGAAGGCCGAATTATCTTTGTCTGCCGCAGCAGCGCTCCCGTGTGGCTTCCATGCCCAACACCGGCGTTGAGGAGGAATATTACCGGTTGAGGCATTTTTCCATTACGGGAAAGGGAATTGTCAACAGGGGCGACAGCCTCAAAAGCCGAAGATCCAGGTCGAATAATTCGGTCGCTTCCAGTAATTCCAGGTAAGTCGCATATTAGATTAAATATTTTGGAAAGTTGTCCTCAATTGCTTCAAGCTATTGGATGGAAACTTGAAATTTTCAACCAAAATACTCCAATGTTCACGCAACAACTAACAAATTTTCCAACCCAACATGACTAAAATCATGATTATAAATCATCCTATAACATGATTGAGCAAACCGCACTCTGTTTGCTGTTTGCGAAATGATTTAGAAGCAATTTTAAATTCCATTCTATGCATTAAACCGAGCAGAATAACATGAAATAATCATTCTGCATTAATTATTGCACACTGGACACCAAATGTACGGTTGAACATTGCGGATTGCATAAAGCAATCAGGCATTTAATGCGCGTTTCGATTAAAATGCGAAACACTTTCGGAGTTTTTAGGCGCAGATTCACCATAAAAAAGAGAAAATCGGCAGTTTCGTGAAAGTTGACCGTTTAGTGAACCGAGCAGTGAACATTCCAGTGAAAATCCAGCTTCCTCAGCCATTTTTTAACGTACCTTTGTCCAATTCCTGGTTCAAAGCCTTTCAGCTCAAGTTTCCCTTTGCTCAATGTGCCTCCCAAAAAAGCCCCGCTAGTTCTTTTGACATCTCATGGCTCAAGTGGCAGGAAGGTAAACTTCCCCGATTTCAAGTTCGCAGGATCAATATTTGATGGAATCTTTTGGCCTGCGTTCAGAGTGTTATTTGTGCCAGTCGCTCGAACCTGAACCCTCCATTGTGAATATTTAGGGCAGAAAGGATTTTCGCCAAAAACGGCTCAACGTGAGCAGGTTTTAGCGCCGTTTAAAGTCTGCAACATTAGAGGCGACTTGAGTGCAAAGTTTCAGAGCGGCTAAGTACACAGGAAACTTTTCAAAAGAATAAACTCGTTCACTTTCTAATTGCTTTTGAAATCAGGTTTTCTTACTGGAACTCGTGGGAGTTTTGGACGGGGGCTTTTAGCAGTTAGTCTCCAACAAATAAGCTGTTTTATATTGAAATGTCTTTTTTCCAGGCAAACGCTTTCAAAAATTGCARTTTTTTGCAGCAAGTTTTAAATTTTTTAAGTCAAGCTGGAAGTTTTRGGACTTGAATCGATAAGGTTTTAGACTGTAAACCTGCAGCATTTGATCGCAGAAAATGTATAGTGGAAGTTTGCAGTTTAAAGTCTAAAATTCCTGCTTTTGTGAGCCATTCTGCCTKTAAACYCCCCGGTTGTGCTTAAACATGCTACAATTTACACTAGCCGCATACACAACAGGGAAATTTTCGGTTCTAAGATTAAAGGGGGATTAAATCGAACTCTCCAATTCCTCATCAAATAGCAATGAAATCACATTGTTATCCTAATGTGTTTCAAATCACCTTTACAACAGTGATTAGCATAGAAATTGCATGTGCATGCAACTTCGAAGAGTTCAATTTGCTGCTGAATTATGCAGGGAAGACCTGAAAGCAATTTGGTGTTCGGCAGTAACAATTTTCCCATTGCGTGTTGGCCAATCAGACCATTATTGGAACGGGGTGATTGAATTGTTTATAAATCGTCGGGGAATTGACCCAATAAGTAAACAAAGCTCGGATTGAAAATGTGAAAAAGTTCTAGAAAACCGCCTCAAGAAGTGAAACTTCCAGGGTTGGGACCCGATCAAATTCTACTTTCACCTGCAAAGTAACAAAGACGCTAACTGTGAATCACTCCTGTTTAGCTCCAGCTAACAGAAAAAATTCAAAGCCCCCAATATATAAATGAATAAAAATCGAACATTTTATTCGTATAAATACATGCTCGGGCTCTCGAGATTCGTCAAGCGTTTTCTGCCGCTCAAGCGGCAGTAAGTGGAAAATTTCCCGTCTCCAAAGCTCCACAGCAATGGAAAATGCAATTTAGTTTACTTTCACCATGAGGCGGAAACCGTTCTTGGGGCAACCGAGCAAAATGCAAATTGAATAAATCGAAATCGCTGAGGCCAGCAGATGGCCGATGTCCTGCGAATTGAAACTGCTGGAAAGTCTGCTGCATAGTTAAAATGATGTCGCGTGCAAGAATGGCACAAAGGAATATAGATGATATATTTGGCCCGACTTTACCAGTGGAAATATGTGGACGGTTTTTGATCGTTTTACATTTGCACTCAGTTCGCATTGTTGTAATTTATGGAGTTCCTTCTGCGGAATACCTAAAATAGCAGCAATAGCAGCAGGCATGCCTTTGGCTTGCGAACTAAAACTGCAGGGAATTATAATTGATGTGGTTTAAAACGCAACAGACAAAGGATGGTTAAACTTGGGCGGCAGACGAATAAAGAACTTTATTTCACTGCGAAAGTTCAAGGATCTGCTTTCTTCATCTATAAAGTTCACGCGCTGAAGTTGAGCAAATTGAATCTCGCCAGCGCGAAGTTAGCGAGTTTTTTAGTAAGCAGCTTTATTAATCAGAGAGTCCAAAGGAAAGGAGGAAAATTCAACGAGATTAGCGGATGAAAAGGTGCAATTGCAGCTTGAAGAGCTCGCGCAAAACCAAGTGCGACAGGAAGCTTTTTATAGAAAAGATTGCGCTCTATCAACCCTGAAAGACTCGCACTTGAACCTTCCACAGGGATTTTTTGATACATTTTTAAAACCCGTCAGTTTTGCCTCGGCAGTTGCACTCAGGCTAACGGTTTAATAGAAAAACCCAGCCAAAGTATTTTCCTAAACCAGCATTGTGAAAAATGCAGTCGCATAAACCAGAAACAAGAATTGGAGCTTTGAGCTGCGATCGGGAGAGTCTTCAGGGCGAAGAAGTAAACTGAAACACCGTACTGGGGGGCTCTAAATTACCCCAAATCTATGTTGAATCTGCCCAAGCATAATTTTCAGATCGCCAGCGGCCAAAACAGATAAAGCTCTTCGAACATGCACTGCATTTATTCACGTTAGTTTCGATACAATTCACACTTTTCTTGCTCATTGGGGGCCGGAACATTCCAATCGATTTTAACCGCAATTAATTGCTCTTCAACCTCATTGCAAAATGAAGATTTATAAATTTGGGTCAAATCAGCTATCGACCCTGTATGTTGGGTAGATCGTAAATTCTTCGGCTTTAAATTCCCGCAAAGTTTGCCTGTGGTTTTGCAAAAGTTTGGGTTAGTTTGTAGCTAAATTGGCCCTTCATGTGTCGATAGAACCCACTATCGCAAGCCCGGATAATGAATTAACTTTGTTCATTGTCTGACTTCGCAAAGTGGATAAAAGGGACTTTACTCATAACCAGAGATGAACCCTTGATGAAGGATTATTGCTTATTTAAAAATTGATATCTCCGACAGGGGCAGAGCGAGAAACTTGCAATTCACCACAAATCTAGGCAAGAAGTGCTGCTTGAAGCCCGACGAAGCTATTGTAGCTCCATCTGAGAAATTTTTCAAACGGGCAACAAACGTTTGTTTTGTAATGGCGCAACTCTTATTTAAAAATTCGTATCTCCTATCGGAGGACAGCTGGAAATTTGAAAATTTTACTGACCACAAATAATAAACGTTTCTTGATGCCCGATAAGACTGACTTTTGTAGCTCTATCTGGAAAATTTTGCGAAATTTTTGAAACCTAGAATGAACGTTTGTTCTGTAGTGGCGCAACTTTTATTTAAAAAACTCATGTCTCCCAATCGAGGACAGTTGGAAACTTGCAAATTTCACCGACGATAGACAAAGGATGATTCTTGATGCCCCGTAAGACTGACCTTTGTAGCTCCATCTGGGAAATTTTGGGAAATTTTCCAAACGGGTAATGGACGTTCGTTTTGTAATAGCTCAACCTTTAGTTTAAAAAATGGTATCTCCCACTAGAGGAGAGTTGGAAACTTGAAAATTTCACTAACGATCGGCAAGGGTTGGGTCTTGACGTCGCATAGGATTGACTTTTGTAGCTCCAGCAGAGAAATTTTGGGAAATTCTTCAAACGGCCAATGGACGTTTGTTCTGTAATGGTGCAACTCTTGTTTAAAAAAATCGTGTCTCCCAATAGAGGGTAGTTGGAAACTTGCCAATTTCGCCCACGATAGACAAAGGATGATTCTTGATGCCCCGTAAGACAGACTTTTGTAGCTCCATCTGGGAAATTTTGCGAAATTTTTCAAACGGGCAATGGACGTTCGTTTTGTAATAGCTCAACCCTTATTTTTTAAAATCGTATCTCCCACTAGAGGAGAGTTGGAAACTTGAAAATTTCACTAACGATAGGCAAGGGTTGGGTCTTGACGTCGCATAGGATTGACTTTTGTAGCTCCAGCAGGGAAATTTTGGGAAATTCTTCAAACGGCCAATGGACGTTTGTTCTGTAATGGTGCAACTCTTGTTTAAAAAAATCGTGTCTCCGAATTGAGGGTAGTTGGAAACTTGCCAATTTCGCCCACAATAGATAAAGGATGATTCTTGATGCCCCGTAAGACCGACTTTTGTAGCTCTATCTGGGAAATTTTGGGAAATTTTTCAAACGGGCAATGGTCGCTCGATTTGTAATAGCTCAACCCTTATTTTAAAAAATCGTGTCTCCCAATCGAGGGCAGTTGGAAACTTGCAAATTTCACCGACGATAGATAAAGGATGATTCTTGATGCCCCGTAAGACCGAGTTTTGTAGCACCATCAGGGAAATTTTGGGACATTTTTCAAACGAGCAATGGACGTTAGTTCTGTCATAGCACAACCCTTTTTTTTTTAATCGTATCTCCTACCGCAGGCGAGTTGGAAACTTGAAAATTCCACTAACGATGAACAAGGATATGTCGTGGCGCCATATGAGAATGACTTTTGTAGCTCCATCTGGGAAATTTTGTCAAATTTTTTAATCTGCCCTTAGTTAAAAATGTACATCTTCCCATCCAGGACAGACAGAAATTTGCCCTGGATGACCCAAAAAAAACCTGACTGTGTCTCCAGAACGCTAATGATAAAACACGTCGACAGCACAAAAGCAAGCGTTCACAAAACGAAAAAATTCAAGAAAACAAAGACTTTCCT